AGGATTTGGGCCCATGGTTCCGTAGTCAAAAGGTGTGACCACGAGCCTGAAAACTTTTTCTGAAAATCTTTTGATTTGAATAGTAACTTTTTCGAGAATAACACCATATATCCCGGTGTATATCCACGCTCCCTTTCGCTTCTGTTGTGTAATGGCCACAAAATGAATGTGATGGATAAGATGTAGATCTACTAGACTGTGTATTTCTTCACTGACTCGCAAAAGTAAAATGATAAAAGCCGCGTCTGTGACGAACATATTGGCTGATCGTATTGCGAAGAAAGATTCGTGTCGTCCTTCAAGAAAAATTCATGAGCAGAAATTCGTCGTGGACTTCTATGACGCAATCAACGAAAGAACTGGAAAACGAAAGCATACATGGAAAAGTGTTCAGCATCGGTTTTTAACGGGTCCGTCACAACCAATATCTTGGCCGTTTTCGCAAATATTTCGAAGATCTTGGCATAAAAAAAGCAAAAAGTAGATAATATCGATACGTTCGTATTTGAAAGACTCGAAGCGGCTCGTGAAAGCTGTCTTCCTATCCACAACATCGATCTCGAACTCTAGACTCCACAAAGAGCACAAAAACAGCCACTCGTGGAATTCACAGCCTCCAAATATTGGATTAATAATTTTAAACACCGGCATGGCATTGTCTTTCGGAAAATTACGGATTTCGTTACAAAACATACCCTTACCCTCACCCTCAATACATCAGCATGGACTATTAAGATGTTCATAAAGGTAGCACAGAATGTGCGATATGAATGCTGTTGTGCTGCCAGTTGAATAAGGGAAATAAAATTCAAACTATTCAAATCAAACTGAAATAAATTATAATTGACGCCCTGTTCAATCAATTTGATGATCTCATCGAAATCAGGATTTGTTTTTAGTACGTCGAATAAATATGTTTCATGCAATGTTTGTTTGCATCATATTAGTAGAAACATTTAGTTCTTTTTTCCACTATCGTATATAAAATGCACTCATATTCTCATCGCCTAAGGAGCAATTATGAAGAGAATCTTTTCTGAGACATACATAAGTATAAATCTCTGTTTAACGATAAATAAAAGCAATAATAGGAGAACGATTTAAAGATGATTTTTTTGTCTTTAATCAAAAGATATTTCAAATTTTTGAATTCGATGATTCGCATAATCTCCAACATAAAAATCTCCTTCAGAATCAAAAGATAAACCATGAGGTTGATCTAATTGATTTGACTGTTTCCCTGATCGATTATTTCCAATAACAACAGCACCTTCACGTGAACCTTCATACCAGCACATTATACGATGATTATCGCAATCTGCTATATAGATTTGACCTAAATGATTAAGAATAATTCCTTGAGGAGATGATAGTTGATTGAGATTTTTTCCTTGACCATTTCCACCAGCAACAATTATTCCTTCACGAGCATCTTTTCTCCATTTTACTATACGATGATTATCACGATCTGATATGTAAATAGAATTATTTTCATCAACATATAGAAATGATGGATTATTGAGTTGATTAAGTTGGCCTCCTTTTCCGTTTCCACCTGCTACTAATATTCTTTCTGTTTCATTTTCTTTCCACCGTGTTACTACATGGTTAACATAATCAGATATATAAATATAACCATCTTTATCCATTGCTAAATGAGAACAATCAATATTTGATAGAAGAATTTCTGGATTTTTTTTCTCTTTAATTGACCAACGCATTATACGTCTATTTCCTTGATCAGCAATAATTAAAGACATATTTTCCTGATCAATGAGGATCTCTGATGGATAATTCAATTGAAATATTTCATTTCCTTTTTCATATCCTCCTGCAATGCATTCACCTTCTTGTCCATCAGATTTCCATTGGATAATACGATGATTATTACGATCAGCTATAAAAATTCTTTTATAAGTATCGATAAAGATTCCATTTGGACAATTAAGTTGATTTAATTGTTGCCCTTTACCACTATTTCCAATAACAGTGGTTCCTTCTTGTTTCCACTTGATTTGTGCTAGGCATTACAGAATAGATTAATTGTTAGCAAAACATCCAAATGTAAATTCAACAAAAAAAATGTACTCTGTAGGACGTTTTCTTTAACTTGTTATTTCACTGTACAGATCTTATGATGTGTTATTAGCAAACATGATGCGTTCAAAAAGTTTCCGGGCTTTTGTCTATATGCAGTAGAGACAGAGCGCGATCTATGGATATGGTAATCATTATGGTTGATAAAATATGCATCTACGAATTTAACAGATTCTGCGAGGCCATCATGTTCATACTGATGAAAAATCAAAAATCAGCCATGTGTGATGGAGTATGGTCACTATAAACCGCTGTTAAACATTTTTGAATGTCGGCTGGAGATTCGCTTTCCAAAACCAGAAATTTGATCACCAAACGATACTTGGGCTTTCGATTTTTCATCGGTATGAAACGAGTGGTTTAGTAAAACCCGTTAGATTCGCAGATGCGTATTTCATTAACCAATGATTGCCATATCTATAGATCGCGCTATGTCTCTACTGCAGATAGACAAAAGTCCGGAAACTTTTTGAATGCACCATATATTATGTTTTTGGTCAGGTAATTCAAGATCATTATTTACATGCCAAAAGATTATCAACTAGGATAAAAAGTTCAAAATGCCGGAAGTAGAGTAAACAATTGCCTCATTCCAGAATACGCCGCTGTAATACATTAGACATCAGTTGTTTCTAATCTCATTTATGTTATCTTACATCTATATATTACGGGCATAATCAGCGTTACGAAAATTTTCCTGAAAAACCTTTTCCCATGTAAAGGTGATCGCTGTCTGATTTCTTCGTTATGTAAAAGAATCTGACTTCTTGTTCTTACTACCGAAATGAACGAATCTTTTTCACACTAACCCGATGAGATTATTGAAATTTCATTGAGAAATGCAGCTGGTAATATGTTGTGTCGAATGGAAATATTTAACGGTTGAATAAGTTGCTTTGTAAGATGTGTTAATTTATTTCTCAATTGATTTAAATCAATTTCATTAAATTCATTATCTTGGTGAAATTGTTTAATTTGTTCAATAATTTGATTAAATTTTTGTTCAATGATTAATAATTGATTATTAGGATATTTTATTAACATTTGTCGACATTGTTCTGCTGTTTGTTTGATTTTTTCAATAGAATTCTCTTCCCATTGATTAATTCGTTCGATTAAAGAAAAGTTTTCTGGTTTGTGTCGTTCTTGTTCAATTGCTTGTTGAAATATGTCACGATCAATTTTAATTTCATTTAATTCTATGCGAAGTTTTTCTCGATGCTCTGTTATATGAGAAAGACAAAAATCTTTTAGACATCCTTCACAATGATAAACAATTTTATCTTTGTGACAAATGAAACATTGGGCTTTGCTACTTGCTGCCATCATTAAAACACAAAACGGTGCGAATATGTTTTTGCGTACATAGTAAGTATCGAAAGGAAATCAGAGAACGAAAAGAAAAATTTCGCTTTTATATGTAATAAATTTTTGTTGTTGTTGTTGAAACGTGACTAGTAGAAATAATTTAACATCCATTGAAATCGTATGAAAATATTCAAATCCTCCATATTCATGTCGAATCTTATTTCTTTTCTTTTCTTTGAAAAACAATTGTTACGAGAGTAAGGGTGAGAGCGGTGGTAGCATTGTTACCGTGAACTTGGGTAACCGTGAGTGTCGGTATCAATGTCAGTTTGACTATGAGTGTAGCTGGGTACGGGAAAAGTGAGGACGTAGAAATGAGTTTCAACAACTATGCCTATACGATACCTGTGTTTAAACTCACAACCATACGCACACACTTACGTTTACCTATATGAAGTTCATATATATATTAATTCGTTACATAAGTGCGAATGTTTTGAAGTGACCCACACCTGATTGGTTTTTCTAAATAAAGTTAGTGATTATTCATTCAACTGAAATCAATATTCTTAGTTGCATTGATGTATAAAAAGAACTTTTCACAAGGTTTGGAGAGCTGGTAAGTTTTTATTTGTCTTTCTGTATTTCCTGTATTTGCTATTTAGTAAGAATAATTTATGCTTTTGACGTTGCATTTTTTTCGGAATTTCAACAGATGTTGATTCGTATTTTCCTATTTCCTTTCCATTTCCATCATACTTGATTTCTGCACAACGACAAGACACTATGCTGCTTGTGGATAAGACGGATATCCTGTCTGCATATTAAATTCAGCTGATGATTCTATGTCGAAATGCAATCGTATTCCTGCGTGCCGGAATAAACATCGGTAGTTGATGCAGCCCACACTCCGGCAATGTTAAATCTCAATGGAGCGTTAGCTGTAAATAAAGTAAGATCTTTTCCTCCTTGAAAGTCTCTGATTCCGTTGTTGGCATATAGTTACCAATTTTATATCTGCCGTTATTGAATACAACTACAAATCTGGCTGCAGGATAGCTGGAAATTATAGATCTGCTGCTAGGTGTGTGACCGTTCTGGTTTAATTCAAATAGTAGTTAAGCGATCGAGAAAAGAGCCGGTGTCAGTTGAATATAGAAAGACTTGTTAAGTCTTATTTTCAGCAGTTCCTTTTTGACGAACTGGCCGGTTAGTGCAATTCACATGAATCGATGGCAACCAGTTCTACAGTTCCGAACTGTCACACACCTACCGTAAAGCCATGTGAATGTCATCCCGCAGCAGAAGATGCTTTTTAACAGTCAATGGATGTACTACAGACGACCTTGTTCGATAGTTATGTTTGAGCGTATATGCACGTCACCGGGAGTCAAAAGGTTAAAGTGCTCATATAATTAAGAATGTTGATCAAAAGAATACAAATTTCCTATTATCGACTTTTCTATGAAGTAAAAGTATTCTTCTCATCTTCGTTTCACATCGACATTGTGAAGATAGCGTAAATGTCATTTATTGTTTATTCAGAAAGGATAAAAACAATAACTGTATTTTTGCTACGCCGCTAAACTAAAGTATTATGAAGTTTTTATTTCTTGATAAGGAGCCATCAAGTCTTTTTCATTTAATTCTAGCAATAGTTTTGCCGCTTCTTGTTTTGCATCCTCTGGTGTAAAATGAAGTTTAAGAAACATTTCTTCGAGCTCAGGACGCAACGATACTTCTTGAAAGCCTAACCATGCCACGTATCTGATTAACGTATTATAAAACGAGCGTGCCATAATCATTACTTTACGTTTCCATGAATCGATGGGTATTGGCGTTGTAAGAGCATGTTTTTTAATAGCGCTAATTACATTCGTACGAGAAATTAAGTACTGATTTAATACGACATCTGGATTAGTTGGTGAACTTTTAATTGTTGATACACAAACACCATCGATAAAATTATATTTCAGCTTATTCTTAATATCATTACAATTTTCTATCCACCATTTATTTAGTGGATTATCATGATCACAATTTGTACGTACAAATAAACATGGTATTCGATGTTCACATAAATTCTCTACAAATATTCGATAATTAGCTTTGAATTGTTCGGTACTTATACGTGGATTTGAATGGCAACAAATTAATAAATTGATACCATTTGGAATTGCATATGCAAGTTTAATTAATTGAACGAAAGCTGTCGATGTTGGTACGTTTCCATCTGTACTTTCCGAAAGACCCGCTGTATCATATAAATTGATTGTCAAATCAGGGTAACCTTTGATCGATCCGGTAACTCTTGCATTATCCATTGTACATCCTAATACACAATCGCTTGATTCAACGACAATATCATCATATATTAAATTGATGAGCGCACTTTTGCCAGCACCCGATTCTCCGAATATTACCACATTGTATTCCAATTTATTTGGTGAGTTGCTTTCTTCAACATCAGACTGTTGACTTTCAGAACCTGAAGACATTCTCAATGTTAATAGTAATGAAAACTTGTAAATATTGTCCCCTTTTTATTATCACTTCTTCAATTATAGAGCTCTAACAAGTGCACGTTGTATCTTGGATTTTTCTTACTTTGCAGAATATAGGAAAAAACCAGACTTATGCGACTTTTTTTTAGTTCTTATCTTTTATCGAAATATTTCACAAGGCGTCTGATGAAATATTTTGGGCTTCTACCCAGCAGATAAGGAACGGTTTCGCCTTCTCTTTAAGAAAAAAAATTCTAGAAAAGAATCTTGTTGTCAGTAAGATTGCATACAAAACAGAAAAATTCATATAATTTGTTTTTTGTATGATAGATACAATGGCAAAAGCCCGTGTTAAATATACATCGGATAGTCGAGTTGTACAAACACCTATTACATACAATATCCTATTAGCTGGTGAAACAGGAACAGGTTAATAGTTAATTTTTTCATTAAAATATTTCAACTCTTTTGCCTTCAAGGAAAAAGTGCAGTGATAAATATGATATTTGATGAAGATCGTGTAGAAACTTCCTCAGGTGCTATTGGCTGCACTAGAGATTGTAATTCAGTTCGTGGTACACTCAAAGAATATCCTCATATGAATTTAAGAATGGTTGACACAGTTGGTCTTGGTGAAAGTTTAGAGGGTGAAGTACCAAATGAACAGGCAATGAATATATTTCAAAATAAAATAGATAGTTTATATTCCAAAGATGGTATTCATTTAATTCTATATTGTATTAGAAAAGGTAGACAATTAACGCCAACTATTGAACATTATCAAACAATTGTTCATGATTTATGTGAAAAACAAGTCCCATGTTTATTAGTTATCACTCGCTGTGAAGGAGATTCTCCTACTGGTCGATGGTGGAAAGAAAATGAAGTTTATTTACGAAAAAATTTAAAATTTGATGTTGATGATGCTGTAGCTGTTACAGCCGTTAAAACTGATGCATCATTATCCGAGTATAACGAATCGAGAAGACAATTAATAGAAGCTATTAGACAATATGCATTAAAAGAACCTTGGCGTTCGAAAAATTTGAAAGAGAAATTATTATCGTTATATCACAGTAAAGTACATAGGCCATCAATTAAACGACAGGGAACATCTGATCCATTATGGAAACAATTACAAGAGCCAATGAATACCCAATCGTTAACTCGATCATTATGGTCATGGTTTTCTTCTACTTCTCGTGCAGTGTCATGCGATGAAGATCAAAATGAAAAAAACTAATTCTTAACGAATAAAATTGAGTGATGACATATGAAATTCACTAAGCAAGTTTAAGAAAAATAAAACATTAAAGAAATATCATAAAATAACTTGTTATTAACGTCATAGTTTCACTATATTGATGGTACTATGATGAATACCTTTTTCACAGGATATGAGCATGTATCGAGAAAAAAAGATGAAATTCAAAAATTTACATCTTACTAGTGATAATTATTCGATTGTCTCAATTATTCCTATGGAATGTAAACAACATGTTAATGGCAACTCCATTCATGGAAAAGTGTTTACCTGATTTACTGAGAAGGAAAAATAGTGATTTCTCAGGGAGGCGAGGAGGTATCAACCGAAATCTATTAAAGATTTTATGCTTAGTCAATGTCGCATATCAAATGATATAGAAACAAACGAAACCGGAGTGGACACATGTGAATGTTCCTTCATAACATAAATACCAGTTAGATGGCTTAATGAACCTGATCGATTTTCAACAAAATCAATAACAATTTCGACGATATAACAGCGATTAAACTTGATATTCCATGTAAATTATGTACATCACATGTGTGCCTATGTGAAATAACTTTTATAGAGGAAAATAAAAAGCAAGATCAGATACTATGTCAGCAAGTTTACAAACAATCATTTTGCCAAGGAGATCAATATCAGCTTATGTTGAATATTGAATATGATTCAGACTGTCTAATTTACATTTTACAATAATCGTTGACATAATTTTCCCGTAAATCTTTCGGCTTCGGAATTTCTTCCGGATTTGAAACTCTTTTATTATAATTATATTTCATTGGTTTTCACTTTCTAAAAAGTCGCGAGTGATTTTATACAGATTCATGAGTTTCATACTTTCTTCTATTGATTTTCGTAAAAATTTAGTTTAATTTGTGACTTGTATTCATTTTGAATATTCGAACTAATGTGAATTTACATAATGAGGCTACTGTTACATATATCAGTTTGTTTCTCCATATGATTGAGAAAGGTGCCCTTTACATCTGACATCTCTGAGCATGAAGTCGTTCAACACCATTTACTATACTGGTATTAAATGACTTTTTGTAACGCGGTAAATGAAGAACATTCAACCGAAGTAGAACAAAAACCAATAATACATGCTTACACAAAACAAAAGTGTTTCATTCAGTGTATTTTTCTCTTTTCGTTTCTCTTACGACGGACATGTGCAACCATAGATTGTTCTGCATGATTTGCACATAGGAGAGGGAAAAGGTAGTCGCTTATTTCTTCATTATAACGTTTCATTTTTTGTACACATCAACTACGGTAAATAACTAAAATGGTGGTCACTGTTGTTGTACATTTAACTGCAAAAAACGAGCATGTGGATAAAGTAAAAGCAAAATTAATTCAAGCAAGTCGTGTCTATGTTAAAGATCAAGGAACCATCAATTGGTATGTTCATCAGGGTAAACGAAATGTGTTATTATATTTATTATTTAAATAAAAATTTCTCATATGAAAAATGATAGATGCAACGGATCCAACGAAATTTACCATTGTTGAACGATATGAACAAGGAAATTATGCACAAGCCCATATCAACCATCCATACTTTAAAGAATTTTGTTCGTATGTAAACCCGCTTCTTGCTAAACCTTGGGTAAGTAATTATTTTCATCACTAAAATACTTCATCTATTATTCTATTTGGAATCTTAGGAAATACATCAGTTAGTCGAGTTAGATACATCAAAAGAAGTCGAAGTTCCACCACAAACCTGGTCGGATGAAACAAAGAACTAAACTATACTTCCAATGACATTTTCTCCCGTGATACTTCTTTAGAGCCCCTTACCCACCCTAGATGATCGCAAAATTCTATCAAATAATTAATGCTTTTGAATTATACGTTCGTTTTTTTTCTCGCATAGGGCGATTTATTTATTTGATTATGCCGAGATTTTCGATTGTCCTACTTCTCTTCATTCTATCAATATTTTCCTTTCGCTCAGAAAGTTTCTCGTCACCTGTGCTTCGTCATCATTGCACAATTCATGACAAGGCAAAAAATACAAATACATTCTAATGTTTATTCAACAGAATCATCACAGCATTTATCTAGAGCAACGGTCCAAATCGGTCATTTTGTTCCCCCAGGAAAAGAAAAGGATTTTTGATTGCAACCAGTTTTTCTCTTGGGTGCGTGTCTTTGCAGAAGTCTTTCTTAAATCGACATCGTCATTGATATAACAGATTGATAGGTAAATACAAGAAGGTAATTTGATTTTTCTTCAAGAAAACTATAGGTCAACAACCAACAAGGCATTGGTCACAAGTTTCTTTTCACATATATAAATGAAATAAATTATAACGAAATGATTTGATAATATTACAACCGGATTCCTTGACATGAATTGTGATTTCTGATGAAATTACGGTCTGTGTCAACGCTGCAGGTAGACAATTAAATGGGAAAACACAAAAATCAGTGAAAACTCATTTTCACGAAAATTTTCGCCCAAAGGATAAAAACATTTCATTTTATTTCTTAAATTCGACAAGAAAACAAATCATCCTTTCAAAAAGTATTCATGAGTGAAACACCCGTTGAGTAAGCTTCAAATAAGTAAATCATTCAACGAAGTTATAGCTGGCTTTTTCCAGGTAATGTATGTTTAGATGATTCAGTCAATCATGCTGTGTCATACACCGCATGGTATTAAGATACAATTTTTTGTACAGAATGTTTTCATCAAGCAATACCATATTGATATAGGTGTTATAAGAAATATCGGTCGAATCGGAGCCCAAGATCAAACGACCACAATTTGCTAGTTCATATTTAAACATTCTCTTCATTAATAGAGAAATTTATGGTTTATCGTTATAAAACGAGTTTCAATAGTTTCGATGAATGCTTTACAGAACACAATTTGTTTCCTCTAATTATCTCTACTTCGAGATTCACATATTCACCGATGTTAACAAAACCAAATAAATTCAGTAGGATCAGTGTCTTCGCAGTTCATCGAGCAATATTCAGTCGAGTTCTTTTTATTCGAAAAGAAGATGAAATTTATCTGAAGTGTTCCGTTATTGAATAAATCTCAACATACAGAGAGTAACAAAACTTATATCCTATAATGTCTGCAGCCTAACCGTAATTATGTTCCTTCAAATACATTTCGCTCAGGGTCTTCTCATTGTTTGGAACACACATCCTATTGACGCTAATATATCAAGTTTCATTGGAATTAATTTTTACATGAAGTGGAATTAACATTGAATCTAACCAACTTTTTCTCGTCATGATCATAGACATATAAGTTTCCGTATTTATCAAATGCTATTCGATCAGGGAACGACATTTTTGTTCCATTAGTCGATACTCCTCCAATAGCGATACCAAGATATTCAGCATTTATCGACCATCTCGTAACTTTACCAGATTCTCCAATTAAAACATTTCCCATTTTATCTAACAGTATCGCTTGAGGTTCAATATAATCTGCGGGTGCATCAGAAAGAGCTGTCTTAGGACCACCACCAAAGATAACTGTTCCATAAACAGATCCATCTGAGAATCGTCTTATGGCTTGTCGAAATTTAAGATGTGTTTGAACATATATATGGTTGTTTTGCTCATCTACAGCTAATGCTGATGCCATATCAATTTGATCCGAATTTGATTCATCTTGTTTCCTTCCAGCAACAAGTATTTGCGAAGTACCATTATTTATCCATTTAACAACACGGTGATGACCACTGTCCAATACATAAACATCATTTTTGGAATCAACATATAATCCATTACAACCTCTGTCAAGTTCGTTTATATTCCAACCTGTTCCATTTGCACTAAATACACGTATTGGTGTAGGATTCCCATTAACTAATTTATATATACCAGGAACATCATGAAACATGTAATAAAAGTAAATTGAATTTGTCAATGAATGATAAAATAATGGAGTTCCGAGAAAATGTCCTTGAAACAGATTAATCGGTTTATCAGCACCCGGAAGCCATTTTTGCAACGTATTCAAATTTGAATTAGAAATATATATATTGAGATCAGTATCTACAATAAAACTTTCTACATAATCGCTTCGAAGTAAGATTTCTCCCGTTTGATTCCAACTGATTGGAATACAAATGTCTAATACTAAAAGAAAACAGAATTTAATAATCGTCTGAAAACAAATTAGCAAACCTTGTTGATTTCTTGTTGTTGTTGGTCTAACTGATATAGATGAGGGTGTTTCTGTCGTCGTTGTGCTGGTCAAAACTGATGTTGTTTTCTGTCTTGTAACTATAAAGATGATACCGAAAATTGATACCGAAAATAAAAGCACCAATAAACATATTCCAAAAATTGTTATTCGATACTTTTTACATAGAGATGGTGAATTAGTTCCTCCACTTGAACTCTCGAGTAAAGTATCATGCGATTGCGATAAACAGTCATTAACCATTCGGGAAAAAAATTTTAAAAGGTAAAGACGTGATATGTATCTGTATTTGTCTTTTACTTCATTTATAAATTCATTCATGCGTACAGAAACAACATTCCCGTTTTTCTAACGCCTCTTTTTTTTTTCTTTGTGCCTTATAATAAGTCTTCTTTACTTACTAATCGATTCAAGTTTAGTAGTTTTCACAGTTGTTGTCGTTGCTGTTGTTATCGTCGATACTATTACAAATGTATTCATCTCTATCGATTCATCGTGTTTTCGCGGCCGTAACCATATCATACATATGAAAATTATGATAAAAAACAATCCTAGACCAATAATACTGGCATAGATCAAATTTTGCGCTGGATGAACAGGTTGATCATTATTTGATCTTTCATTTTGTAATATAAGGGCATTATTAGGCACACCACCTACAAAGTCGCTTAATTCATCGCTTTCATGCATGATAATGCAAAGTGAAGTGTCTGCGTAATGATAAACATAAAAACATATTCGTTTTCAATTTATTATAGAGGAAAAAGTACACAAACGTGTCAAATGAGTACTATCGAACGGGACACGATTTTAACAAAAATTCGACTTCGTATTCGCACTTTACACAACGAGGCAAGTAATCAATGTGCTTTGATTTGGTTAGATTCTGATGCATTAGATGACTCAATTTATTCCCTACGTACAAAACTATTACTTCGTGAAAACAGTGATATTCCTTGTTACTTTTATAATAACCTTGAATTATGTTCAACGAAAATTCAGAAATTAAAGCAAGACGAAGTTCGATTGCTTGTTATTGTATCTGATTTATTTGTGGAAGAAATTCTTCCTATTGCGAAAAGATGTTCAATCTTAATCTTCTGTTCAAACTGTCATCAATACCAACATTTAAAGAAAGATCATTCAAATATTATCGAAATTTGTAGCGAACACGAAACGTTAAAGAATTCCATCCAACGCGAGTTACCCTTATTAAAATTCAATTTATTTGGAAATCAAAAAGTCTTTTCCACACGTTCATTACCATCAGCAGCAAATCTAATACATAATAAAGCTTATTTCTCATATATGCTCTTTGTTAACTTCTTAAAGCGCATTCCTTCAACAGATCAAGCAAAAGATATTATGCTAGACCGATGTCAACACCATTTTAGACTTGACAACCACACGTTGGAAGAAATTGATTTATTCCGTAAGACATACACACCAGAGCAAGCGATCGCGTGGTATAAAAAGGAGTCATTCGTTTTTTCTTCAATCAATCGAGCATTTCGAACGGAAAATGTCACATTATGGTATATATTTCGTTTTTATATTAGCGATTTAAGTAAACAAATAGAAAATGCGCATAAAAATCAAAATTGGCAAGGAATTCTCCAACTTTATCGCGGTGATGCTTTTATTTCGACTGAGGAGATAGAAAGCTTGAAATCGAATATAAATGGTTTTATTTCAACGAATGCTTTCTTTTCAACATCAAAACAGATCGATGTAGCTTTAATGTTCGCAGGGGGTATAGAAGAAAAATTGAGTAAGCAGCGAGTTTTATTTGAAATCACCGTCGATACATCAAATTTGAAAAACACAACTTTCGTTGATATTAATGAATTTTTGGGAAACGATGAAGAGCAAATTCCGTTTATATACGAAGACGAGATTCTATTTAACGTTGGATCTGTTTTTCAAATAAAAAATGTTTATTTCAACGACGAATACAACATGTGGAGAGTTGAAATAGAAGCAACAGATGAAAGAATCGATTCAATTATCGAACGTATTAAACATATGGAAGAAAAATTCCATAATACAAATGATAATTTATTATTCGGTCATTTATTAATCGACATGAATCAATATGTCAAAGCAAATTCATATTTTCAAATGATTTTAAAACTTTTACCTAAATCACATTATGATGTTCCGTTGGTTTACGATTACATTGGTGATTTAAATATGTATATCACCAACTGGAATGAAGCATTGAAAAGCTATGAATTATCTTATAAAATCAAAAGGAAAAACTCCCATTCCTACCGACAAACAGTCGGAATAACATTGAATAGCCTAGGAAATCTTTATAAATCTATCGGAGATCATTGTCAAGCGTTGAAACATTATTTCAAAGTTTTAGATTATCAAATTAATCCTGTGAATAAAGCAATCACTCTATTAAATATTGGTGCGATTTATATAATAAAAAAAAATTATACGAAAGCTTTGGATCGATGTTTAGAAGCACGAGATCTTATTCATGAACACTCTTTGATAGCACCCGGTGGGCTTGTTCGATGTTACCGAATTATAGGGGATATTTACTTTGCACAAGATGATTTCGATCAAGCAAAAGATTTTTATTTTGCAGCATTTGATTTGAGCAAGAACTCTCTTTTTGATAGTGATCTTCAGCGGATTGTTTGTGTGAAATCGTTAGTTGATTTGTATGCAAAGCAGAATATGAAACAACAAGCAATTGATTTTTGTTCGAGAGAATTGAATTTTTATGAACACTGTTTAACGAAAGATCATCCTAATATTGCTCATTTATTGATGATTTTGGCTGAATTGTATGAAGTCAATGAAGATCAAAGAATTGACTATTTGCAGAAAGCATTGAACATTTTAGAAGAGAATCGCCATCACAATTATGATCAAACAGCCAATTGTTTCAAACTAATTGGAAAATTTTATGCGGAGAAACATTTATATGAACAAGCAAAAATATTCTTTAAGAAGACTTTGGAGATACAAAAGCAAATCTATCCGAATAAGCATCTGATAATAAAAGAAACTCAATATCTTATTGATATGATTAATGTTTAAGTTGATTTTTTGAATAAATAAAACCAGAAATCAACATTTCGCTAAAAACATGCATACCGTTGACGACATAATGTACTTTTTTCATTGACCTTTTGTATAGTACACAGGTGAAAAAACATCATTAGAAAGAAAGATAAAATCACTTCCTTTTTACCGTACGTCACATAATTGACGCAGGTTATCGTAGATTGAGCTTCGGGTTTTTCCAAATAATATTCAACCATAGGGTATACTAACGAGGAAATAATCCTAGGTGTACATGTCCTTTAGTCTCGGCTCATGTATTAGTCGATAGAGGGCATCGAGATGGTACACACCCTAGACGAGTTACGGCCGACAGCGGTTCTATCTTGAAGAGTTATAACGATTTTTTTCTGTGAAAAATTTGAAAAGTAGAAAACTGCGTGCTCAATAAAATGTCGACATTGACACCTAGAATTTTCAGCAGTGTCACCTCACGTTAAGTCTTCATTGTACTTGAGGTTTCAACTCCATTGGACGGTTTTATTCTAAAATGGAAGAAGCTTCGATTCGCTCTAAAAAAATAACTTCTTTGTAACACACCTGAAATAGTCCAGGACTTGTGTCTAAATAAGCCGACTGGTACGAGGTATAACGACCCATGGGTTTTGAATTTTGGAGACATCATTTGATTTTATGCTAAACTGTTCATTTTTATAATATTATTACATTACGCTAAATTGACATTTAAGTCATGCAGATGAACGTGATCATATATTTGGCTTGCAAAGTACTTATACTAGCGGTTCCACTCCACAACAAGAGATTGAATCATTGACGCAGTACTTTTTATCAGTCTGAAGCTATAGCACGAACAAACGATGTGTCAGCTAAAAACTTTCCCACTAAACAAGTCCACTCCCTGAAAAGTATACTATTCGACTCAGAATTTAGTTCTGCATCGAACGGTGATGTTTCTACTCATGGGACCACCTTTGGGAAAATGTTTACCTATATCTTAGTTTGCCTCCTGTAGGTCTTTTTATGATCCAAATAGAATTTTTCCAAAGTTTGTCTTGTGAGTAGAAACATTACCATTCGATGGAGAATTAAATTCTGAATCGAGTGGTAGAATTCTCAGGGACGGGACTTAGCTAGTAAAAAAGTTTTTAGCTAACACATCGTTCGTTCGTGCTAGCTTCACATCGATAATCCTCGAGATCATCGGATCCGATAAAATCCTATATTAAATGCGAGTACGGGATTGATCGACCTGGGGTGTTGTTCATTGATTTCATATCTTCTCAGATCTTCACTAATGCATTTGTCTAGATTTTCACTGAAATAATCAACTGGAATTAGATAATTTTGCTCCTGGTTTAAAATCTTTTCTAGTAAAATTGTTTTCTTCAAAATTTCTTAGCTTTTACCTCGAATTGGATTCCATGGCCAGTCAAATAAAACAAAATCACATCATTTTCTTTAATCAAATCTTCAAAATCAACCAAAATGCGTTCCATTTGTGAACATTTCAAAACTACTTGTGGTTGATCGCCATGAATTTTGAATCCAATACTTTTTAACAGAGAAGCCATTTCGCTTGCATCATTTGTTGGATTTTTCTAAGAATAATCTCCTTCATAGGCACCAATCTCAATGACAAGTGCAAGTTTTCATCGAGACTCGCGGTTAGTGAAAGAGTACTTGTAGAATGTGCCATAGAAAAAAACAAAACTTCAACCTGAAAAGAAGAAATTCTTCAGACATCAGGCTTATTTCACGAAATTTAATGAGACAATTGCTTTGAAACATTGAAATTGAAATGTGGAAATCTTAAGCAATGGTTTCTTCTTAGCTACAAGAAAATTTTCAGAAATAATATTTATTAAAATCTTATTTTACGATCAATGTTTTATCTAAGAGAAGAACATAGAAATTTCATTAAAAATGAAAAAGATCAACATGAGAAAAACACAAAGTTGATACATTTTACACAACTTATATTTTCTCAAAGTAAAGAACTTGAATAAGATACATTTCGTAATCGAAAGATGAATTTGAAGAAAATTTCTTAATATAAAATAGTGATGTAAACAGAATAGAGTAGATCAGACGCTAAAAGCTTGACGGATTTTTAAGAGACTTGTAAAATAAATGTGAAAAAGAGATTTATTGAAAACCTGATGAGGATGAATAACGATCTCAAAAGTTTATCGAGAGAATTTTGAAATCTTTTCTAAAAACAAATTACTCGTTGCAAGTCGACACATATGAAATCGGTTTCTCCCCAACAAACAATTCGTATTCATTGCTAATAAAAGATAAGGACAAACATTTCTTTTGTCTGGCCGAAGAGAAGAAAATTTGACTAGAAAAATGATTTCTTTTTATTTTAATGAGAAAGTTATTCCAAATAATCCATCGAAATATTTTCGATGCAAAATTCTTGAGAGTGACAGTGTGATTATTTTCCTCGTCCCTCCGTCTCACACATCCTCATCGTCTTTTTAACTTGAATCAAACAGAAAACTAATCAAATGGAAAGTTCATGTGGAATTTGAACATTTTCATTGGGTCAAACTTGTCTAACAGAATACGTCAAAGAGAATCCAGCCATATCGTCGGGATAGATTAGAAAATTCAATCGAATTGTTCGTTCTTTTGCAATAACTGCTTGTTGCCTATGAATATTTGCTAATTGCATATTTTGAGTTTTCGTATAAGCTATTACTAAACGAGGATGACTGATTTCATCCAATGGATAATCTTTTAAAAATGCTTCGTTTTCATTATTTTGTTCATATATTAACAAAGCTTGTTGAAGATGTTCTATGATTTGATTCCAATTCTCTAGTCGTTCATATATGACCGCTAAAGCCACATGTATAATCGCTTGATGTTGTTGATTTGTTTCCGAACAAGATTGAAGGGCTTTGTAAGAGTTTTCTATGGCTAAATCGAATTGTTCTAATAGAAAATAAACTAAACCACGTCCTCGATATATATCGATAATTCTTTGAGAATCATTGTCAGGTTGAAGTAAAGCTCGATCAAGGCAATCCAATGCAAATGGATATCGTTGTAAATCAAGATAAATAACAAACATGTTAAACAAATAATCCCTATCGGTACAACGTTCATTTTTATCAATTTCTTTTAAATCATCTAAACCTGCACTAAGGTGAAATTTCGATTTAGTTACTTTATATAGCATCGCTCGAAGAACTGCTCGAAATATATAAACATCGATCGGCGGAGAACCTATTGTTCACATATATACGTAGAAAACATTGCATTACTGTATTTTTCAGTACTTACAGGGATCGTGTTTGAGATATTGTTGCTCAGCTTGATTACTGTAATGAAGAGCCATGCCGTACATTTCTCTTTCTTTATAAATCACAGCGATTGTTGAGAAAATACGTCCCAGTTTGTCATAGGGAATTTTCTGATTAGGAGTTTCCATAGATTGAGTTTTAGTTATTACCTGAAGGTAAATATTTAATGCTAATGATTTGCAAGTCTTTTCTGTTCGTTCATTGAACTGAGCAGCCAAATCAAGTAAACAAAAGTGATCATTAACATGATATTTTTTGAAAAAACCATCTATTAGACAGTTGTATGATTCGATGAGAAATAAATCTTCGCAACGTAATATGTGAAGTTGAGAAACGAAACGATATCCACTCATTGCTAAATCATGTTCCTTGGGATGAGATTGCAATGATCTTTTCAAGCATTTTATATAAAAGTCTATCAATGGATTTCGTAGAGTTAATAATAAATTATTTTCATGAATGTTTTTGATTCTTTGACTGAAAAGGAGAAACCAATAAGTACTTGCTTGTAATTCATTCAAAGAGAATAGAATGTTTCCAATAAAAATTGATGCAGTTAGGATATACGAATTGCTCAGATTTAATCGTGGGGTGGGCCAAATTGTGACCGTTATATCGCTCTGTTTCGTTGAATACATTGCAGGAATTACAATAGATGAATTAGATATAGATTTTGCTTTTTCTTCTACCGTAATTTCCGCAGTTGATGATGGTTGAAATTCGATGGCGTAAATACGTACGATTTGTTTCATATCCAACATTTGACGACACGAACGATTCAATGTAATAAGAAGAATTTGTTGATCGTCATTTGTGTTTTCAATGTCATCGGATAACTTAGCAAAATCTTTATAAATCTTTAGTGATTTTGGTAAGAAATCAATCTCACAAATGGATTCGATATTTAGTAAATCATCTCCATCGTGAAATACAAAAATGTTCCCAATCGACATTTTCTTTTCATCGAATTTCGTACATTTACCTGGCGTATTTATAAAACGAAGGTAATCATGCGTGAAAAAAAACATGCTATAAATCGAAAGAAAGTACATATCGTTCGTTTTACAATGTTAAAAACAATTTGGTATCATTGTACAATTAAATACAGCGTCAAAGAAATTGAAAAAGATGCTGAATATGAGAAACAATTAGTCAATGCATTTCCTCAATTATTAACATTCACTGATATAAATAATTGTATTGATTACATCACCGATTGTGATGATCGAACGGTCTCTTTGATTTTTTCCGACGTTCAAGGTATTCAATCTTTATCACTTATTTATCAACTTGAACAATTCATACGTATTTACGTTTTGGAACCGATTTCATCGATTAAACAAGCATCAGATAATGTCATTATTAAAAATGTTCCTGTTATTTGTGGACCATTTAAACAAGTCAATAAATTAATTGCTCAGCTACATTGTGATGCAACATCACTGGAGAGAGCCACTTTTACAAATCCGTTCAATCTGCTTGTTGATCGTTTACATACAATTGATAATATTGACGAACAAGAAAATGACCGACTTCGCTTTCAAGTCATACTCACCGCTCTTCTGCGTTCGGATACTTCAACGGAGTTTGTTCGACAGTTGATGATTGATGAATGCCGTCAACATTATACAAATTTTAAGAACATAGTTTATCTATGAAAAATTGATGAATTTGAACGAGAAGAAAGTCGATTTTCCACTTTTCATTGGTGGTCACAAGATTCATTTGTCTATCGTTTGATTAATGAGGCACTACGTTCTCGTCATTGGAGTTCAATTATGAAGTATCGTTATTTTATAGTGAAGTTATATAACGAAATAAAGAAACTTCATCAAGAGCAATTTCCAATAATACATCGAGATGATTCAAATAACCAACTTTTAGTTTATCGTGGTCAAAAGATATTTGAACATGATTGGAAATTATTAGAAAATAATGTTGGAGGATTAGTATGTATCAATTCCTTTTTATCAACCACTCTTTACGAAGATATTGCAATGCAATTTGCTCTCGCATGCCCAGAAGAAAAAACAGTCGCTGTTATTTTTCGAATTACACTTGATCGTCGTGTTTCGTCTTCAATTTTTGCTAATATCTCTGGTCAGAGCAGTATGGGATATGAAGCTGAAGTACTCCTATCTCCAGGTATTGTGTTTCGTGTTGACAAGATCGCGTATGATGATGTGTTTGATCGATGGATTGTGAATCTGATCGCTACTGATCCAGATAAAGATTCTTTACTTTCATTTATGCTATCCGAATCAGAAACATCAACTCTTGGTCAAGTGCTTTATCAAACGGGCGAATATGAAGCCGCACGTGATTACTGTGAATTGATGCTGAGATATTCAGATGAGCATCTTATTCATTATTCTATTCTTGGGAATATTTTCAAAGAAATACAAGAATATGATCGAGCGCTTGAAAAATCATTCTAATGCTCTTAAACTTGTCACATCAATCTATCAATGTTCATTCATTTATTATAATCTTGGACTAGCATGTTTAGGTAAAGGCGATTATAATCGTGCACTCCACTATTATCGCGAAGCATATGAATTAGAATGCGTTGAAGGTGAAACAAAGCAACTAGCAGAAATCTGTCATGACATGGGATTCGCCTATATCGAAATTGGTGCGTTGCGTCTTGGTGTAGAATATTTAGAAAAAGCTCTAGACATACAAAATACCGTCTTACCCGCAAATCACTACCATTTAGGTTGTACATATACGAATTTAGGCGATTATTATCGTGCCCGAAATGAAAGTGGACAAGCCTTAGAATATTATCAGCACGCTCTTGATACATTTCAATGCTCACGACAGCATGATAACAATATCGTCGCTCAAGCTCATTTTCGTATTGCTCAGCTATATGTTTATATGCATCAATACGACATGGTGACAAGAACGCTTGAACAGTTGGCGAAAGCATATGGAAGAATGGCTAACGGTTTAGGACTTGCAAGTGTCTATATGAGAATAGTAATCTATACGTATTATTCAACAGCAAATCTTAAGCAATGCGCTACATATACTGAGTATGTTCTCACAATTCGTCGACAGCATCTAGATGCCGATCATAAATTGATTGGAATCACACACTATATTCTGGGTTCACTTCAACTTGGAGCCCATATGCAATGCTTTCCAGCACATGACTTTGCTGCTCTAATCAATGGCCAAAAAAATCTTATGCGAGCGGCTGAAATATTAAAGTCATGCCCCACTTATTCCATTAAAGTAATTGAAAACCTCGCTTTCGTTTACCGCCAACTGAAACTTTATGATAAAAAAATCGTATATTTTAAGCAGTCAATCGAGCATACATCAATTGATAGTGAATTTCTTCCACAACGCTATAAAAACCTAGCATCGGCTTATGGAGAGCTACATCAATTTAAGACTGCCATTCGGTATTTAAAAGAGGCATTGCGTCTATACGATCAATCATCCAAAGTTACAGCAGATCGACAAATTATCCGCTGTCATGCTGTTCTCGGTACATTTTACAAATATACTAAACGGTATAAGTTAGCATTGAAACACTTCTCTACTGCGCTTTCACTATGGCGAATGACAGCTGGTCCCATGGATGCTGATCATTCTATCGGTGCAGTTTATTATCATACGGCTGATATTTATTACAAATTACGTTTGCCGTATCCGTCATCCATTGCTCAATACTTTTATTTCTGGAATCAGTATAGAATTGGCCAGATGAATTCTCAGCGGGTAGCAAGATCATCATTAATGGACTCCGACCCTGGACACATCACTGGCTTTCTTATTCACATTGAACTAGATCTCGGCTGAAAAAAAAACTCCAAACCCATCAATGACTTAAATCTTTTCTGTATTTCAATATGCTCTAAAGAGTTAAATAATGTTTCTAGTAGTCGACAGTGACGCCATTGCCAACATACAGAAGTGAGCGTGTCGCCTGAGATGAAGTCACATTCCACGGTATCATCCTCAAAAGTGTTTGAAATCTATTTTAACGTTTGATGAAGTTCATTGCTAAGTTTACAACTATATCTTCGTAGGCATTTGTCAGAGAATTGTCAAATGCGCATTTTCATATAGTAAGATCCATTATCAGCATATGACGATATCAGATATAGCAAAAATAGCATCAGGCACTAGAATACAGGGAAAAAAGGACAGAATGCAAACAAAATCTAGAAGAGTATAAATCCGTTCTCTCCTATTCCGTAAACGAATGACGAAACTACCTTCAGAATCACAGTGAATGCTGCCACTATCGCAAGGTAACATAAAACAATAAAGCATACTTTACGAAGGATTATCGTTCTAACAACATAAAGAATGTCTACAATTATTGCATTTTCATCTGTTCTTTTCTTATGTTTATGTTTACCAATATGATTTTATTTATTTTTCTTAGATAAGAAAAAAAAAGTTCGAAACAATACAACGCGCAACTATTGCATCATATGAAATGTGTCTAAAACGTATAATCGTTTGATAAAATCAACTCAGAAGAAAACTGTTTTCGTTGATCAGTCAGACATAGGATCACTCTTGGTTTTATGTGAATGTATTTGAGACTTTCAAGCTACAAGCATTCTTTGCAACTTCTCCATATTTGTCGAGAAGATAATATTCTGCTCGTCCGACTAAACCTTTTGACCGTTGAGATCCATAGGCAAAATGAACAGTAAGCGCTGAGCCGACTGCAATAGAATGTTTCTTTTGTAGCGTCGGAATACGACGTGAGATTTGCAATTCATCATCTCCCATATCCAGACCCATTACATCTTTTCCTTGAAACAATATAAAATTAATCGACCATCCAGTATAGTTACCAGGTGTTTCCATGTGGTGAAAATCCCACAATGGAAACATATATGCAGATAAGGTGCCTTCTTTGTATCGTTTGATAAAAGATTCATGCTGTAGAACTCCACATCGATAACTTCTCCAATCACAAGCGTGAAGTGAGCCTGTAAAATTTTCGAAACCTGTCAAGTTATGAATAGCTCGCATGTGTGCGTGAACTTGGCCTAGAATCGGGTGATTGATAACGTTAGCACTAACGAATAAAATCTCGGGATGGGTCAGTTTTGCTTGCAACATTGAAGCTAATGTATTGGGATGTATGTAGACAGTGTCATCATCCATTTTGAAATAGTATTGATCCGATATTAATGATTGATAATGTTCGTGAAATGAGATTTCTTTGTTCGTGGTATTTTTTCGAAAGAATCTTCCAGGATGCTTAGCAACAATCTCGTCAAGATATGGCAGATCTAATGCTTCGTTCGTTTTTGCTATAAATATAACAGATGACAGTACACCTCCATTGTCGATCAAATTCTGCACCAAATAACAATATAAGATCCTTATATATCGTTGACGCCCATAAAATACAAGTGCAATAGCAGTTCGATTGGCCAATTTATTTCGTTGTGTAGTATTGCTCTCGTACGATTTAGGGTAACGAAGAAGATGACCAGAATTCAAATCTGAAGACCACAGATAGAAAATCAGAGTCAGGAGAAGTAGATTCAACATAGAAATCGCGATAGTGCGTTGTTGTGTCATACTAAAACCAAATGGTTTCTTATTGAGTGACTTGACCGTTCTCCAAATAATGTGTCCACACCTACCAGACAAGAAAGTCTTTAATCATTTTTTCGAAAGAGTAAAATGTAATATCTCACTCTTCTCTTCTTCTACTTCTAATCAGTAGTTTTAAAAGTAAGCATGCATTTTTGTTTATATTTCATTGAAGAATAACATTGACTGATGGATTTTCGTCTTTCTGACTAAGAATGAAAGAGAACTGCAACATTTTCTATTAGGTGCAAAATACATTCATTCAGGGTGTGGGTGAGATACTTTCTTTATTCCAGTGATCTCTCCAAAATCTGATCTTAGAAACGCTGTTTGCTGATTATAGCTTGAACAAGCAAACGAAATTCAATGATTTTTATCCAACTGTATGTCCTTGTTTTCAGAAAAGGATAAACAAGTTATTATATGCTTGAACGTTTATTTGATAATGTCAAAGACATTAAATTTTTATCTCTTCACCGTAATGTTTTCAGAAAATTTATTTCATCAAAAAAGTTGAAGATGATCAGGACCTGATGCAATAATCGTGAAATTTCCTGTTTGATATGCAGAAGTCGTTGTAATCAGTAAAACATATGGAGTGCCTTCTTTAAGATTATGTGATAATTTGAATTGATGGTTGTCGTCAAATAAATTGACCGACGAAATTAAATATAAACCGATATTTAAAGGATCAAACCGATCCATAAAAAGAACACCAAATGTATTCAAATTACTTTGACTTGTAAATGTATAGAGACCTGATTTTTTTACAATGATATTTATTGTGTGATAATATTCGGTTGCGCCGGGAACTTTAGGACTGTTCTTGGTTAATTCATTGGAATAATTTGAAAGAACAGAAATTGATGGGAATTTTGTTGTTGTCGGTACTGTTGGATAAAATGTTGTGACTTTTGATGATGAACATACTACAAAACATTCAGTATTTTATCCAAATATTTAGAAAAAAAATAAGAAAAAACAAACCTGCCAAGCTAAAACAAAGAAAGATTCAGTGTTAGAAAACTCAAAATATTAAAAGACAGGGTGTTTATTACCTTAAAACAATGAAAATCGCCGAGAAAATTGATAATGAAGCCATGATCAATAGTGCAATATAAATTTAGTAGTGAAAAATCTTACTCACGGCTTCATTTTTATACCGAAAATAAATCAAGAAAATAATCCTTAGTCAATTAAAGAATTAAGAAATGTACTTTCACTTTGGGAGTGCGATGACAGAACAAAAAAAACAAAATCGATACAATGACTTGACATGACGCGTGCACTAAGAAAAATGCTTATCATTATGTCATTATGTTTCTAGCAAACCTTTTTTATGTCCAGTGAAATGTTTATCTATGAGAACAATAATCATGATACGTGATGAAGAACTGATCTTACTTCATTGGAGTATGATTAACTAAAAATATCCTTCGAAACGTCCATGTCAGCGGAAATAGCCAGTGCCAGTCAAAGAGTATTTTCATGAAAACTTATTAAACTTACTTCTTTCATAAACGATCGTTCTCAACTTGACATGGCCGATCACCAATCTCAGTTTTGATCTCACACTATTCTATGCATCAATATCCTTCACCAATAGCTTTCTCTCTCTCTCCATATGTAGACAGAAAATAGACGAGGATAACTGAAATGAATAATGAGGAGAAAAGCAAGTGTAATTTTAATTGATTTATTTAGTACTTTAATGTTCTACAGTTTCATAAATTTTTGAACACGATGATTACCATAATCTCCAATGTACATATTCATATTCGAGTCGAAAGCAATACCTCTCGGGTCGTTTAATTGTATGGAAGTATCACCCATGGTACCGTTTCCAGCAATGGTAATACCAACACGATTGTTTGCGCAAAACATTTGAACTCGATGATTATAGTTGTCAACAACATACAAATTTAAATAAGCGTCAAATTTAATACCCATCGGATTGTTGAGAAGAGTTGAATTGGAGCCTGATACACCAGGAACACCGGCGACAAATATACCTGAACTAGCACCAGGAGTCCAACGCATCACTGAGTGTCCACCGTAGTTTGTTATAAACAAATCATTACTTACAGATGGCATATAGTGAATACCCCATGGGATGTTTAATGATGTGTTTTGATTAGCAACGCCATTACCACCTGCCACGAGAACTCCATTATCGCCGGTAGTTGCGTTTGTCAAATAGCGCATGATTCGATGTTGCGCATCATCGGCAATGAACATATAAGTCTCTGTCGCATCAAAAGTGAGATATCGTGGACAGTTAAGTCGATTTAATTCAGACCCATTTAATTCACTGATACCGGCGATCGTTACTCCAATATTGGATTTATTACTGAACTTCTGGATACGATAATTGGCACAATCACTAACGTATATATTTCCAAGTCTATCAACATAAACATCATTTGGAAAATTCAGTTGCGAACTATTTGTTCCTCGAGATCCTAAAGTTCCAGCGACGACTGTGGCATTAGTAGAATTTTTGTCGAGTTTCCATACAACCGAATCAATACCTTCGTCAGCAAAGTAAACCGCACCATTCAAATCAACAAATACGCCTGACGCTATGAGTGATGGTGATAAACTAAATATAGTAATGCCAGTTGTGTTCCAACGCAAATTTCCCAGTTCGCCTAGAGCAAAAATAAATTTGAATTGTCTGTAGACGCAGAATGACTATCGACGATAGATCTTTACTTACACGGATTCATCTGAGTGGTAGTCACTGTTGTCGTTGATGTACTAAATATATGTTTAATGGGTAAAACAAGAAAACAAAAGAATATAATATCTCTATAATTCTATCTACTTCAAATCGCAGTAATCTTTAAAGTGCTGAATATCGATACAAGACAGACTTAGTAACTTACGTGAATGATTCTGTTGTTACTAAAACGAAAAATAACAAAATAAAGACATATAAGAAATCTATCTTATGTCCCTAAACTTACAAGTTGATTCTTGTAAATTATCCATAGAAATCATCGTTATAGTATTTATTTGTACTGTATAGTTTCCATCTTCTAATGAGTTCTTCGGAAAAAGTTCACATTGATTATTTAATGAATTGAAAGTAACAACAGTGCAGTGTGAGTAAGTTAAACAAGATATTTGACATTGTCTCAATGTTGATGTCAAAATGATCATCGATGATGCGCAAGACAGATGATTACATTCATATTTAGTATTGATTTCGATTTTCAATCGTATCGATCGATAATCTTGAGAACTTCCTTGTGTAATAAGAAGAAATAGAAAGTACACCTCAGTTGTCAACATCTTGAAAGAAGTATAAATTACTTTGAAAAACAAAAAAAAGCACTTTTTTAAAAATATAAATGTATTTAATATTTAAAAGAAAAGAAAATAGTTTCCTCATTTATTTTTCAGCTTGATGTTTGCCTCCGCATTTACTTCCTATATATTTGAAAAGTCGAATACACAATTGATACCCGCCCGGTGTCCGGTGGTTTATTCATTTACAAGATAATTTTCGAAAAGGACCAACAGAGATAAGATCAGTATCAGTACGTGAAGCGAAAGTAAAAATATTTTTTGTTCCAAGGGATCTCTCCTTTCTACAATACGCTTTCAAACTTGGTCAGTTAGTTGAATCAACCTTCAAGGATTTTATAACAAAGCGTAGGAGAATAGTCTATACAAAAATTGTTTGTTCCGTATAACCATACTCTCGAAAACTACTGCACTGAAATTGTCGAAATGACAAATTGAAAATTTTCTTTTGAAAGAAGAACATGTTTTTTGTGAGATAAGAAGAGAAGGATAAACGACCATGAAATATGTTTAGAACTTCTTTTCTTTCTCATACCTTCCGATTCTGCCGTTACAATGATACATTCACGTACAGATAACATAAGTTGTACAATACAAGATCAAGCGAGATGTTCAAACTCATCTTATGGCAACGAAGTAGAACAAAGTCTTTGATCGTTTAATCGTGAATATATCAATTTAGAATCACATCAATTGATATTTCTTCACGAATTGAATGAACTTCATCAAATTGTTGATTACACCAAAGTAATAAACAACATCGAACAAAAGCTCTACAATTCATCCGACCAGCGAATAGTACCATAACATATTTAGTTTGTTTCGGTAATATCGATCAGACCATTCTGTCAGAAATTCATTCCTTGGAAAATGTACGATCAATCTATATCTATGAACAAGACCAGCAATGTCATGTACAATGGACGAGTGAATATACGAAAGTAAAATTTTTTTTTTTAATACCCAGATTCACAAGTTCGACAGATAAGAAAAGTGCTTGTGAGACGATAAAGTACACGTTTATAAGAAACAGACGAAAATCGTATTCTTCTCCTTCGAATTAGTTCCGCGTTGGGTACATAAAATGATTATATTTCATTCGTTTCGTCTTGATAGATTAGGGAAATATACATCGACTGGAAATTGCTTTTAAACGAGCTTAGATCTGACGTTGAACAATATTTACATGAATAAAAACACGGAATATTCAGTGAAATTGGTCGAGATAATTATACAAGTGATATTTATACATTTTCATGGTGGAATTACGTTATTTCATGAATTTGTCATCTATCTTACGCCAAACATTCTTCTGACAATTTTCTTGTCACTTTAAGAGAATATTATCAAGGTAAAGAAGTCGAACTGGATTACTCGCCTGACACTGCCATACGTTGGTATACGCGTAATACATTCCTTTATTTGGCTATAAACAAAGCACTTCGTCAAAAGAATATCGAAGTTATTTTTCTATTTGCTTTTTTTATCAAAGATATTTACAATGAATTGAAAAAGTAACATGAAACATTACGACTGAGTCATTTAGTTAGTCCAATAATCAATGTTTATCGTGGACAAATGATCTCATTCCAAGAAATTCATCAACTTAAAGTTGCGACTTATTTCATTACTAATAGTTTTTTTCCACATCACTCGATCCCACTTTAGCATCATTCATCGACTGGATCAAATGATCCACTATATGTACGATGATTTACGGGTAGTAATTTAGTAATGAAAAGTAGAGATTTTACAGCAGCGAAAAACATTGTTTATTTGTATAACACGTGTCAACGTTTCAACTCAAGTAGAGTCATTTTCAAGACAGCGAAAAAATGTGAGAAAAAAAATATTTATATCTTTGAACGTAATTGGAGATCAGACCAATGAAAGTTAATTATTCTTTATAAGAATTCTTATAAAGAATAATTAACTTTCATTGGTCTGATCTCCAATTACGTTCAAAGATATAAATATTTTTTTTCTCACATTTTTTCGCTGTCTTGAAAATGACTCTACTTGAGTTGAAACGTTGACACGTGTTATACAAATAAACAATGTTTTTCGCTGCTGTAAAATCTCTACTTTTCATTACTAAATTACTACCCGTAAATCATCGTACATATAGTCTATATATCAGGCAGCACTACGGGGATTTTGCTTCAAATCTTGCTTTCCACTACGTCAAATCGCAACTCAAACTCAACAAACTCAAATGTGATTTGAAATTTCTCAAACAATGTAAAGGGGAAAATCTTCTTCCCACGTTTGTATGTTTCCATTACGCGAAATCATACAGCCGCCACGAACCGATTATTACCAATTGTTACCATCAAATCCTGAAGAATGAAATCAACAAAAAGAAGAAGGAACTAACTGATGCTTATCGTCGATCGGCCCGTCTCAAAGCGGACCTTTCGATAAATATAAATTTCTTAATTTTCTCTCGTGTTCTTAGAATCGCTAATGAACGGATTGCACTCAAAATCGAAGAATGGACACTTGCACACCAAGGGAAACTTGATCTCGCCCGAACCCGTGCACAAAAACGAAATCAACTACAAACGACTCGGGATCGAATGAGACACACAACTGATCGGCGTCCACCACCAACGCCATACAACATCCAACCTATCAAGAACTTGTCCAGAAAACAACTAAGCGAAGAGGAAACTCTGGCATTATCCAATGGGCTAGACTATGTCTATCCAAACAGGAAAATCAATATGCCTTCCTTTATATCTAATATTGAAACTTGCTTTGTTAATGTTTTAGGTCATTGCACCAACAGACCTGACTACGAAGAAAGAGACGCAGATGAAACCACCATCTATAACTTAACACCAACCCAACTTCAAGCAGCTACTAAGCTTCGGAAAATTTGCGACAAATTTTGTTCTGATTCTTCTAGGCAAACTACAGATAGGAACGCCAACAAAATGCTCAACGTCATCCGCAATCTTCGAAAAGACAAGTCCATTCACATCACAAAACCCGACAAGGGCCGAGGAGTCGTCATTTTGGACCATTCAGACTACATATCTAAAATGAATGAACTTGTAAATGACACTACCACTTTTCGCCTCGTCGATATAGATCCTACAATCAAGGAAGAAGCTAAACTCCATCGAAAACTCCTTGCATTGAAGGCCTCGGGTTTCCTGTCCAATGAAGAATATGGCATGTGTCGTAGGGTTGGTTCGCAACCAGCCCGCTTATATGGCCTACCAAAGACCCACAAAGACGGCGTTCCATTGCGTCCTATCCTGTCCGCCACTGGTACCTTTAACTACGGAGTCGCCAAAATGCTCGTCAACCGCCTGACTCACCTCCGGTTGCACCACACAGTAATATCTGACACTTTTTCTTTTGTAGATCAACTCCATAGGCTCACCATCGACATGTCAAAACACAAAATAGTATCGTTCGACGTGACCAGCTTATTCACCAACGTTCCGCTAGACTATACAATTGATCTCATCGTCGAACAAGTATACGGGAACATCTGCGGATGTGCCAACAACAACCGTGGCAAACATAGAACAACTGACCAATGTAAGAACTGTGTGAACAAAAGCAACTTAAAATGGCTTCTCGATATTGCCACAAAAGGTACGCATTTTTCGTTCAATGGAAAGAATTATGTTCAACATAATGGAGTCGCCATGGGTAGCCCTCTTGGGCCATTGCTAGCGGATATTTTTCTCGTTCATTTAGAAAAACAACTCATGGACGATCTCAATCAAAATGGTCTCGTTTTTTGGCGACGCTATGTGGACGACACGTTTGCAATCATCGCTGAGAACACCAATCCGCAGGCCTTGCTCACCATTCTTAATTCTTTTCACTCATCAATTCAGTTCACTATGGAATCCGAATTGTCTGGTTCGTTGTCTTTTCTAGATATAAACATCAAACGCTTATCAACACCTACACCCAGTACACACTCTTTCTTTGAAACCACTGTATACAGAAAGCCAACGTTTACCGGCCTTCTAACGAAGTTTACATCTTTTATACCTATACAATACAAAAAGAGCGTGATCTCGTCTATGGTATACCGGGCCATTAGAATTTGCTCTTCCTATCCACTCATGGATAAGGAATTTACAATCATCACCTCAATTGCGTTGGCAAATGGATACCCAGTTAAGTTCATTGAACAACAAATCTGCACCACACTCAATAATCATTTCTCTAAAAGGACACGTAAACTACCAGGCAACTCGACAACAGCAACATCTACAAGCGCTCAACCACCAACCGCTGAACTCATCAAGAAAAATGTCTTACTCGTCGATATTCCTTTTGTAGGTAGACCTTCTTTCGTTTTAGGGAAAAAACTAATCAATTTCGTCAAACAAACCCGCCCGGACATAAAACTCCAACCAATTCCACGACCTCCCCTTTCAGTCCAACAGCAGCTACCTCGAAAGGATCCGATTCAAAAAGATCTCCAGTCACATTTGGTCTACGAAATACATTGCAAGGACTGCGATGCCAAATATATCGGTAAAACGATCCGCCATGCTATCACCCGTCATACCGAACATGGTGCACCAAAACACTCACACCCGTCTCACACAATAACTGCTGTTCCTCTTCCGGTGCCGAATGATCTGAGACGGTCTAGTCGCTTGAAACTCTTAAAAACAAAAAACACTCACTCTATTTCTGTAGACGCGTCGCCAACCTGTGATACGTCACCAAAACATAGATCTTCAATCTTCGAACACCAACGACAAACAAACCACACTATCGATTGGCCGAATTGGAAGATAATTGACAAGGACCCGCATGGTTACAAACTAAAAATACGGGAATCATTGGCCATCCAACAACATCAACCTTCACTCAATCGAACCACTTCTTCAACTCCGTTGATTATCTATCCGGAGGGTCTCAGGTTTACCAAACCTAAGGTGAAAATCAAACGTGTGCATGGCAAATAAACCATGACCGGACATTTTCTTTATAAGAATTCTTATAAAGAATAATTAACTTTCATTGGTCTGATCTCCAATTACGTTCAAAGATATAAATATTTTTTTTCTCACATTTTTTCTTGATGAGTTCAGCGNTCAGAAAGGATAAAAACAATAACTGTATTTTTGACTGATGTTACCGACGTAACTAGGAATTCGCGCGTGGTCGGGCGTCGTCAAACCATGCTCATCCTTGGCTACGCCGCTAAACTAAAGTATTATGAAGTTTTTATTTCTTGATAAGGAGCCATCAAGTCTTTTTCATTTAATTCTAGCAATAGTTTTGCCGCTTCTTGTTTTGCATCCTCTGGTGTAAATTGAAGTTTAAGAAACATTTCTTCGAGTTCAGGACGCAACGATACTTCTTGAAAACCTAACCATGCCACGTATCTGATTAACTTATTATAAGACGAGCGTACCATAATCATTACTTTACGTTTCCATGAATCGATGGATATTGGTGCACGCAGAGCATGTGTTGTAATGGCCCTGATTACATTTATACGAGATATTAAGTACTGATTTAATACGACATTTGGATTAGTAGGTGAACTTTTAATTGTTGATACACAAACACCATCGATAAACTTATATTTCAGTTTATTCTTAATATCATCACAATTTTCTATCCACCATTTATTTGGTGGATTATCATGATCACAATTTGTACGTACAAATAAACATGGTATTCGATGTTCACATAAATTCTCTATAAATATTCGATAATTAGCTTTGAACTGTTCAGTGCTTATACGTGGATTTGAATGACAACAAATTAGCAAATTGATACCATTTGGAATTGCATATGCAAGTTTAATTAATTGAACGAAAGCTGTCGATGTTGGTACATTTCCATCTGTACTTTCCGAAAGACCCGCTGTATCATATAAATTGATTGTCAAATCAGGGTAACCTTTGATCGATCCCGTAACTTTTGCATTATCCATTGTACATCCTAATACGCAATCACTTGATTTAACGACAATATCATCATATATTAAATTGATGAGCGCACTTTTGCCAGCACCCGATTCTCCGAATATTACCACATTGTATTCTAATTTATTTGCTGAGTTGCTTTCTTTAACATTAGATTGTTGACTTTCAGAATCTGAAGACATTTTGAATAATAATAGTGATGAAAACTCGTAAATATTATTCCCTTTTTATAATCACTATTTCAATTTATACAACTAAAAGATGCACGTTTTATCTTGGATTTTTCTTTCTTTGCAATATACAAATAACCAACTATATCATTGTTTTTAAATTTTTATCTTTTTCTAAATATGTCACACAGTGACTGATGAAGCTTTTCTGGGTTTTTTCCAGTAGCTAAGGGTCTCGTTCTTCTTATCTATATGAAAGAGTCTTTTAGAAAAGAACATTGTTGTCAGTAAGATTGCATACAAAACAGAACATTTCATATAATTTGTTTTTTGTATGATAGATACAATGGCAGATGCCCGTGCTAAACATACATCGAATTGTCGAGTCGTACAAACACCTATTACATACAATATCCTATTAGCTGGTGAAACAGGGACAGGTTAATAGTTAATGTTTTCATTAAAATATTTGAATTCTTTATTCTTCAAGGAAAAAGTGCAGTGATAAATATGATATTTGATGAAGATCGTGTAGAAACTTCCTCAGGTGCTATTGGCTGCACTAGAGATTGTAGTTCCGTTCGTGGTACACTCAAAGAATATCCACATATGAATTTAAGAATGGTTGACACAGTTGGTCTAGGTGAAAGTTTAGAGGGAGAAGTACCAAATGAACAGGCAATGAATATATTTCAAAATAAAATAGATAGTTTATATTCCAAAGATGGTATTCATTTACTTCTATATTGTATTAGAAAAGGTAGACAATTAACGCCAACCATCGAACATTATCAAACAATTGTTCATGATTTATGTGAAAAA